GATCCTCATTGTTTAATGTCTAGTTCACATGATAATCTGATTATGTGTTCGAAGTACTTGAAATTGTGTCATTTTTTATATTTATTAATGAATAAACAATGATATCAATTACTCCTGCCTAAAAGCATCAAGTTGGATTAATTGAATCGAGAACAATCGATTTGACCTGTCCATCTCGTTATTACGAATCATCCATTTTATTACCATTCAAATCATACAGCAAAGAGAGAGTGAGTTATTAATTTAATGAATGAAAATCTATGATAAGAATAAGCTATTATGTAAGCAATTTTATGAATGTATAATAACCATCAAATCTCATTTGGAATATGGATTTTAACTTAATAAACTATTAGGGGTTGTTTGGGTACCTGGAAATCTATTACGTGACAATAAATTACAAGGAAATATGGTATTTACACTGTTTGGTACACTTAATAGGGTTGTTTGGGTATCTGGAAATCTATTATGTGACAATAGATTACAAGGAAATGTGGTATTTCCATTGTTTGGGTACACTTAACCGTAAGGAAATGGAAAGAGATTATGCGAGATTTCTCAAAAAATCAGGAAATATAGTGATAGGCCCAAAAAATCAAGAAATGTAGTAATAGGTGAAAGATCTATTACGATAGTGATGGATAATTTTGAGAAATCGAGTAATTTTGATAAATGTGTTTTTGCCTACCCTATCCCTGATTAAAAAAAGCTTCTAGGCCCTCTCTCTTCATGATAACTAGGTGATCATTCCCTTTTTATGCTCATCCCCTTATCTGAAGAAAATCTTCTAGCCCTCTCTCTGCGTGATAACTAGGTGATCATTCCCTTTTTATGCTCGTCCGCTTATCTGAAGGGTTGTCATATAAAAACAAAAACAATAAAAATAACAATGAGTAATCAATGATAAATTGCACAACACAGTCATAATAAAAATTTTCACATAACATAATGTGATCCCTCCCTTTTTATGCTCATCCCCTCATCTGAATGCATCAATGTCATATAAAAACAAAAAACAAAAAAAACAAAAGTCAGTAATCAATGATAAATTACACAACACAATCATAACAAAAAATTTCACACAACATAATCTTCATAAGAGATTACTAAAATCTCAATTCATTTTATGCTCGTCCCCTCATCTGAATGCATTAATGTCATATAAAAACAAAAAACAAAAAAAACAAAAATAAATAATCAATGATAAATTACACAACACAATCATAACAAAACATTTCACACAACATAATCTTCATAAGAGATTACTAAAATCTCAATTGAAATAACATAGCTCTTTAATCTCCTTCAATAACTCAAAATTTTATACTGCAATTACCAAAATTTTTAGTTTACTAGTCAAACTTCTTCCCATTTTTTAACTCGTACCCTATCGACTTTGAATTTAGTATGATAAATTTATTGTTTATTTGAAATTACATAGAGAGATATTAGAAAGACTGCTATAATAAATAAATAAAAATAAGACTTATCATAATAAAATCATGTTATTTCAATCATATTGTTTCAATGACTTATCATGTTGAAACCAATGTCATGTTAGAAAACATGTGATTGCATATAAGTGCCAAAGGCATTTAAAATAAGTAGGAAATAGTGTCATGACTGTAAAATGGTACAAGTTATCATCAGAAAATCTTTTTAGAATGGTGATAATGTTATTATTAGAAATCTTTTTGGAATGGTGTGGTGATGATTTTAATTCAGTATTTTAGTGGAATTTTGCGACAAAAAGAAGGAAAAGATAATTCTGCATTTTAGTGGAATTTAGTGACAAAAAAAAAAAAGAAATGATAGTTTATAGGCACGTATTGGTAAAATGTTGGTAATGCATTTCTTATATTTCTTCTAGACATAGCCAAACTATAACAATGTATTTTCAAGGTTGCATATAAATACTACCCAAACAGTAACAATCCATTTACAGGAAATGTATTACGCCAGTAATATATTTCACATACAATATATTTTCAGGTATCCAAGCGGCCCCTTAAAGTAAAAAATTTCAAGCTTTCTAGATTCCCAGACTTCGAAAGCTAAAGTATGAATTTAGCTGCAAGACCAAATGCACAGTATGGTTCCACCGTACTACCATATATTGACCATATTTAGTTGTGATGTGGTTTGTATAGAGCGCTGCTCTAAACAATCAAAGTAAAGTGCACCTTCAAACAACATCGACAAATGTGGTATCAATATGGGAAAAGTTTGTGATGGCCTTAAATATATTTTAATTTTTAATTATAAAATTTAAAGCTTAAAAAAATAGTGTAGATCGAGCAGATACATGAAAACTTAAATTTATTGAAAATTGGCGATAAAAAAATGCATTATAAGATGCACTATTTCAAAATTTTGAAATCTATTTTTTCTCTCATGTTCATGCATCTTAATGTTAAGATATCAATTTGAGGATATTTGGGAATTAAAACAACCAGAAAGCCTTGGCTCTAAGCATTTTCCTTTATTTATTATGTGCGCACATACATTATCTCCAATTAAAATCAGCGCACATGTACAACATTTTATAATTCATAAATGAATTTATTTGTCTTTGGCAATTTCCAACGAAATTCAATTCATCTCACCTTCACCTTCACCTATTCAAATAACGAAGGAGTTATTATTATTTAAAATAATTGGACAGTTGCGGAATTTATGATAGGGAATTTTATTGATATAAGGATCACCTATATTACATTACATTTTGTGCAAATGTCTTGTGTTTTTTTATTGCAATATTCACAATCGAAATTGGGGAAATAAAAGTCGGAACCCAACCTACTTAAAAATTTAAGAAAATGAATAAATTCGGACATTGGGTGTTTATACTTGCTTATTTGTTTATTTGTTTTCGTACTTGGAGATGAGTTTAAATGGTTTTTATCCAAACCCAATTCCAATGTTGTGTATCAAAATCTATTTCTTTATGGGAAAAGTTTATACAATGATGGAACCTTATAATGTAGAACTATGGATGCACCTAAAAAATCCATCAAAAAAGGTAGTTTTAATGTTGAAAAACCCTTTGATTGATCATCTCGACATCGAGATGTATGACCATGAAAAATAGAAAGATTTTAAGTTCATAAATAGTGCATTTTACAACATATTATCCACACCGTCCATTTTCAAGATTTTCATATTTTTATAGATCTACTTGATTTTAACTATTTTTGAAATATAATTAGATATAAAAATGGATTTTGAGATAATCCTAAAAACATTTTACATCAAAATTATATACCATGATAAATTTTGAAGGTGCACCTTACCTCTCTCTACACCTACGAATGCATCTGTATGCCAACTGGACCCTTTCTTTATTAATTTTATATTGTAAGCGATACATGGGTCCAGACATTGAATATGCAACAAAATACCTTATTTTTTAATAAGTGGGAGATAGTTTTGGACATTGGATTTTGAACCCATTTATTTTTTAACAGGAAAAAAGAGTTTAGATATTGAGCATCTAGACTTACTTTTATTTTATTTTATTTGTAGGTGGGAAATACGTTTTGACATTGGTTGTCTGGATTAGTTTTTTTATTTTTTTGGAAGTGAGAGACGGGATCAAACATTATTTTTCGGGACTTATTATGGTTCTTATTTATTTTTATAAGTAACAAATGGGTTCAGAACTAGTGACTGAACCTACTCTTTTTTTTTTTATAAGTTTTTTCATGAGTGGAAGATGGTTTTTAGACATTTAGTATCCAAACCACTATTTGAGTTCAGACATTGGGCATCCTAACAATTTACTTTTTTTAATTTTTTTCAAGCGGGAAATAGGTATTTTTTTTAAAGATGGGAGAACACTATTTTTATTATTTTATTATTGTCATTTTTATTCTCAAGGAATGGGTTTGGCTATTGGTGTATGACTAGGGGTAATTTGCTAGATAAAAAATAGAATTATCTATGCAAAGTTCATCCTAATTTTTTGCTATTAAAATTTCTAAAAAATTTAATGTTATTATGTTTTTTTTTTTAAAATAATGATATTGTCCTATTTTGGTTTCTGAGGATTTGAAATTTAACATTTATACTCATAAGGAGGCCTAAGATTACTTTAGATGAAAATATGAAATATTTTAATTGAGCAAATGTTTCGGAAATTGAAAGTCTTAAATAATTTAGTTGGTTAAATACTTTGGAGTTTTTAAAGTTTGACGAAAGAAACTTAAGAATTTTAAGTTTGTGAAGTATTTGAACAACTAAAATACTATTCTTAAGTCTCATTGGAGGCCTCACTAATTTGGATGTATATAAATATTAAACTTCGAATTCTCAAGACACGAAGTAGGGGAATTTTCTAATGATTTTTCAAATAATGGGGCTCTAAGAGGATATTAGTATAAATCATTCTAAAAGGTAAAATCGTTGCGCCTAGATTCATAAAATAAACCTAATGAAATAACCTCTTCAACTCATAGTTTAACCTTTTCAACTCATTGTTTAACCTCAATAAAAAATTATTTCCTAATTATATCCTCCATGCACTTGAAAAAATAATCTTTTTAACTCATAGATTAATTTCAATAAAAAATTATTTCCTAATTATATCCTCCACTTGAAGAAAATAATGTAACTAGATGGAAGAGAGACCATCTAATTTTTAAATGGTGAGATCTAAGTGTTAAAAACTAAAATTTTAATTTTTTTAAGGATAATCATACATTAACACTCTTAAGCGGTCCTCAAAATTTATATCGAAAAAAATCTACTCACGTAGATCTTTCGACCGGAGTAGAAGTAAAGTATGCTCCCGAAGGAACATACTATACACTCTAAAAAAATAGATACTTGGGTCAATTCATATTTGCATAAGGAGAGCCTTTTTAAGGTATTGATTAAGGACTAGCGAAGTAATTGCTTTGGATTATATGTTAATAAATTCCATAACTCTCATCAAACCAATATATATCCGTTTTTCTATTATCGTCACGATAAAGGCGGGACTTTCAAGCATACAAGTTTAGAGAGAGAGAGAGAGAAATGGAGGGAGAGCCGGGTCAGAGAGCGAGAGAGAGGAGAGAGAAAGAGAGATTGGTATAACCCCAAATCGTGTATGGTTAAAGGGCAAAAGGGGTTTAGGTTTCGAGGGCACCCGCCCCTCCTCTCTCAAAAAAGCTGCTTTTACCTGGTTCGATTTGGTTGAGGAACCCTAACGGTAAGCGATGACTCCCTCTGTCTCTCTCTTCCACGTTACGTTTCCCTCTCTTCTGTTATTTTTACAGACGGGCATTCCGTACCATCATGAATTCTGGAATAGAGAATATTGTAGTGAGAGAAATTTTATTTTTTTGGGGCAATGGTCCTCAGTAGCGTGAGGGATTCATGGTCTTCTGTATGCTATGATTTTGATTCCAAAAAAGAAAAAATATTGTTTTAAGGCAATGGTAAAGGTTGAGTAAGGCAATGGTATAGCTTGCTTTTTGCTTAAATATATATTGATTTTCTGGATGAGTTCTCACATATTCCATATTTGAGATTTTTTTTAATTTTTAATCAAATATTTATTTTGATATGTTTGATTTCCCTGCAAAAATTAACAAACATTTTCATGCATTTATTTTTGCAAATTTAACGTTCTACATGGACTATCATGAGAAAAATGTTTTTTTGTGTCAAGTTTTATTCTCCCTTTTCCAGTTAAATGCTTTGATGGTAGTTTTCTATACGAGAAAAATATTATTTGCTATGTTATTTCATACATACATATCAATTGTTCATCATGAATATAACAAATTTGAGGACACTATGGTGATCTTCTCTTGCACTATTTTTGTTCATCTATATGAACTAGAGGGGGGTAGATCTTATGAAGCTAAGTTTATGAGTATGTATACTGTTATTGAATAAAGAGTAATTTATTGCATTCTTGACATGGGTCATAAATTAGGTCGTAGAAAATGAAGGGTTGTGTCTATTCACATGAGGTGGGCGCAATGTGAAGGACATAACCTTAGGCAGGATTATATTTTTGATACTTGCAAAGCTCGTGCATTTTTTGCATCATGCCTCTCCTTTACCTTGTGCAACCTACTTATGACCAATTTGACCATGAGTTCTCATAAATCTAGAGGAATCTCCCTTTTTCATTTTATTTCATGTGTGTACATGTTCTTGTAGCGTTTGGAAATTTCCTAATCAGACTTTGCTCCGTAGGTCACCTCTTCTGGATGGCTCCTAAAGGGTGAATCACCCTGGTCTTCATTACCATAGACTAGGTTTTAATTGGATTTAGGTCACATGACAGTCGCTCAGTGGTAGATGAAGGTCATTTCACTATAAGTTGCTGGAGATGGTGTTTCTAGGAGCTAGTTTTTGTCTATATAGTGCAATAACATGGGAATCCATCCTCTAGGGTTAGAATAACTACTGCTCGTAGAGTCTAGAACTAATTTGATGTTACTGTAACAAAGCATACCCTTCTTTACTCCTTCATGATCTACTCGTTATATATATATATATATATGCATGTCCCAGTCTTCCCTCTTCTCTTATTCATATGGAAGGTGTTGTACATCAACATTTCATGTTCCAATGGATTTATGTCTATATATGCACACACACACACACACACACACACACACATATATATATATATATATATATATGTATGTATGGACCAGTCTTCCCTCTTCTCTCATCATATAGAAGGTGTTGTACATCAAGATTTCATGTTCCAATGGCCTTACGTCCATCAAGAGCCGAAATGATGCCTATGCGTGAACATTCGCCTTGTCAGAGCACCTGTAATAACTTGCAAATCAGTAAGTAACAAAAACATGCAAAGTAGTGGGCCAAAAGCTTAGTGCATGTTCAGAAATAGGATGTATTGTTTCTTGAGAGACACGGACACTCAATTTACTTTTTTTTTGGGAAAGATAATGCATTACTTTGTGGCAGTACATTATCGTAGTTGTTTCCCATGCATTTCCTGTCTTATTTTATTTGCATCATAGAAATTAGCAATGGCTCCTTTCTGTTTTTCTTCTCAACTATTTATATAGGATCGAATTGCACATAGGTTGCCTTTACTTTCTGTATGGTCCTGTGCATTAACTGAGCCTGTTATTGCATTGGAATTTTCTTTATTGATGTGGATGTTGTATCGGTGCAGAGAGAGATGTCGCCAGAATTCAGTGTTGTAGAGAAACACTATAGTTGATTCAGTAAATTACAATTGTTTTGAAACTGCTTTTGGGTCTCATATCATGTTTTACCTTGCAGGTGTCAGGCAATTACTGCTATTAATTATGCTGAGAATAATTTATTTGAATGTGGATGGTTGAGCAATGGAGGGTGAGGAGTGTAGGACTGTGAGGATGGTTTTCAAGGGATAAGTGTGCTGCCCATGCCTTGTTTGTTGGCTCGAATGAGAGAAGGTGAACTTTTACAGGCGTTATGGCGGAACAGTCATCTCGTCTTCATCGCCTGCTTACTTTGCTGGACAGTATCCTTTCTAACTCTTTAAATTCTATTGTTGTGTTATGTGATTGATCTTATTGTAGTTCATGTGAACCTCTCTTTGTATGTATTAGCATTAGATTGGAAGCTTGGTAATCTTAGATTGCACCCATTTTAGACTAGAACCTTGTGTCCCTACTGGCCAATTCATACCTCCATATTTGTTTGGGAGCCAGTTCTCCAGTATAGTAGTTGCCTGTCCTTGACCAAAATACAGCTGGGTCATCTCAAGCAACAAGATTTGCTGCTGCGCGACAGATTGGGGATATTGCAAGATTACATCCTCAAGACTTGAACTCTCTTTTAAAGAAGGTAATCTATTCACGAATATTTTGATAGTTTATGGCTTTTCCTATTTCAGTTGAGTGATTTGTGTTATTATACTGCTATTTCATTTCTCTGTTTGCTAAAAAATATGTGTACTCTAAAAAAGCAAAAGAAGGGAAAATAGCTTGCTTCTTGGGGCTCTCTCTGATGCTTCCCTATTACTTAAATGTGTAAAGTCAGCAAGGGAAGGTATTTTAATATCACATGCTGATGTCTCATGAATCATGATGCATCTTATTGTTTTCTATGTTACCTTATTTTAATCTCATTTGTGTAAATCCTCACAGTATTCGTGATTTAATGGTCTAAAACTTGTAACACGTGGACGTGGACTTCCTTTTTCAGCTGTTAACACTTTCAGATCAAAACAGCTTGTGAAATTGTAATTTATTCATTCGGAACCTGGACAAACTACTGACCTTATTGGCATTTTAGTTGTTTGGTAAACGGTAATGAGAACTGCATCTTCTATTGTTTGATCTATTTTGATAGCCAGAAAGGTGGTGTCGTTCTTAACATTTACCCTGAACTTCTCACAGATGTCCAATTGTCACCAATCAATCTGCTTTAATCTGGTCCTGATGCATCCTGTGCGATCATGTGGGCTCAACCCTGAACCCAGGTTTCTGGTGGGCCTTTCTTGGCACATCAAGAAACTAAATTTGAACACCATTCCTTGGCATCTAATAGCACTTAACTAATTGACCGATTTGCTTTTGGGTTTTTAGGCATAATTGGAGTGATTTTATAGTGGTTTCCTATTTTATCCATTGTAAAGCATTTTTAATTTTATTCTCCTGTTTTATCTATCGTCCGATTACCTGTTTTATTGATGCTGTTATTTATAATTGAAAGGTTTCTCAATATCTACGTAGTAAGAATTGGGACACTAGGGTGGCTGCTGCTCATGCTATTGGGTCTATTGCGGAGAATGTCAAGCACACATCTCTGAAAGAGTTATTTACTATGGTTGAAATGGAGATGTCAGAGGCCGGACTATCTGAAAACATGGAGATGATGGGATTGTGGAATTTCCATCCAGAAACAATATCAGGGCTTTCTTTCAGCGGGTAAAGCATAATTCCTTATTGTATTATTATTATTTCTTTGCTTCTCTATGGTGATTTGTTTTTATTAAGCAGCATTGATGTGTTGATTTATCTTTACTTTGATTAAAAGTAACGTGGTGTATTATTATTTCATTCAAGTATTTTTGTTATTTTGCAGTTTTGAAATAGGCAAGGTATTGGAATTTGGTGCTCCACTATTGGCGTCAGGAGGGCAGGTATTCATTGGCCTGTTTGTCTTAGACTTATGTGGCTCAGTTGTCTATTTCTCTTTGTTGAATCATCACCCCGTGGTTTGTATACATTGCTTGTGCATTGTTAATTGCACCTAACCAGTCAGGTAAGTTATATCAAACTTAAGATTTGTTTCTTACTTTCTTAGTTAACTTTGGTGTTAGTTATGGACCTATCAAAATTTCAGGTCACAACTTGTAGCATGTTAATATTTCTCATGACGCACTTGTGCATGAAACACCTGATGTTTAGAAAAATGGAGGCGGGCGCCCAAAAACACTTTCGCCCCAAGGGGTGTCCCCAGGGGGGGCCTTGGCTTGCCCTGTAATCCATTTATTTCAAATAACAATATCCCAATCACTTCAAATGCATATACACAATAGGTTTTTACTTTTCGCACAAATTCTTTGTTGTGTTATATGAAACCATGCCGTTGTTAAATTTCTAATAATTTTTTGTGGGGTTAATCTAAATTTCTTAATTTTCTTATAACTAATCTCCCATCCAAGCAAAACTTGCAACTAATCCTAATTTGTGAGGGTCCCTTGCACATTTAGTACCACATATCACGAGACTGGTCCTTTTTATCATCAATGATCATTTCAAATCATGTTTAAAACTTTAAAAGACCATCTTTCTGAAATAATCAATGGAAATCACAATGCAATTCCTCAAAATGCCCACTAATTGCTCCCAATTAATCATAAGCTTCCATTAGAACAACAAACAATCTCCCAAAACCTGAAAAGCCCCATTAATAAGTTTATTAAGGGGGCTTATGCGTTTTTGGGGGTTTGGGCCTTCCAAAACCCTTCCCCCCCCCCCACCCCCCCCGGCTCCTTTTTTTTTAAATTTTTTTTTGGTGGGTTTTGGGGGGGTTGGGAGTACTTTTTTGCTCTTGGCTGAGGGCCTTTTTCTGCCCACGACCAAGTTGTTCCAAGGTGCCCGTCTAGGCAGTACCTTGGCCTCATAGGGCAACCGCCAGGTCGCATCTAGATGTTGCGACCGAATTTTCGAACATTCAGCATCAAGAAGATTTAAAGCAATAGAGAACTTGGAATGACTGACTCCAGGATACTTTCCCGATACTTTCCCTAATATTCATTCACCAAATTTTTAAGTAGTCCTTGATCTCTGTTTTCTTATATTATGTTCCTCTTTAGGCTATAGGGTATTTATCTCCCAATACACTCTCACTGTTTTTCTAATCCTGATGTATCCAAAAGCGAACCAGTATTTATTACTTTTATCAGTGGTGCATATGTTGTTTTTGCAACTGAATCAGATTTGTGAGGTGTTGTTTTTCTTAATTAGATGGGGTACTTTTAACTTCACTGATGTTACTCTGCAGTTAATCAGATCGAGGCTTGAAATGTAGTTTGACATAATCTGGTCCTATTGTCCAATTTTCTGTAAATAATACTTGGGATTCTTATAAAACTGTGCTACTTGCTTCTCTGTATTTGACAATCATAAGCATGCTTCTTTAATTTGTTATAATTTGAGACAAGTGTGATGGCTTGTTGCATACTTTTCATCAGGAGTATGATGCAGTAAATGATAACAAGAACCCAGCAGAGCGATTGACACGCCAGAAACAGAATCTTCGGCGTCGTTTAGGTCAGTGTTAATTTTTGCTTACTTTGTAATTTGGACTTGGGCTTGATTGGTTAAAGTGTTGACCAGTGCAACACTGTGTCCCAAGTTTGAATCCTACAGTTTAACTACCTAGAAAAATTGCTTATTGTTTATGCATAGTCAGATTTTTTAATGTTTAGTTTTGTTTATGCGATGGATTCAATAACCGACTTCCTGTGGGTAGGAAAACCCATTGCCTTGCTATTTGAGCTGTGGCATTGGATGCTTGTCAATGATGAATACAATATTCCTCTTTAACTAGTTATCATGACTACTCTATTTGTGCCAAGTGGTCTGCATAACTTCTGGCTAGAATTTAGCATTAGAATGAACCTAAACATTGTTGAATAAAGCTAAGTTAAGCTGTTGTATACCATATTACAGGTTTGGATGTATGTGAGCAGTTTATGGATGTGAGTGATGTGATCAGGGATGAGGATCTGCTGGTTAATAGAGTTCCTTCACATGTTAATGGGGTACATCCTGGGTATTATACATCTCAATCTGGACAGCACATCCACAATTTGGTTGCTACTATGGTTCCTGGTTTCATTTCTAAAAGGTTGAGTGCAAGGGAGTTGAATCTTTTGAAACGAAAGGCCAAAGTCAATGTGAAAGACCATGTGAAGGGTTGGGTTGATGATGAAGATTCTGAGGTACCGCCATCTCAAACTTCTCTGATTCCGAAGTCCACATCTTTAGACCCATTACAGTGCAGTAAGGTAACATGATTTTATTCTTTTTCAGCTTCATATTTTTTAGATAGATTATTTGACAGATATCATCAGGGACAAAGTTGTATTTAACTTACTTTGTCACTGTATGGATGCTTATTGCTATTATTCTCATTACATGGATTTAACTGGTCCATTGTGATTTGACCTTTACTATTGATCTTTTTTAATAGTGGACAATGCTTTGTGATAATGTAACGAAGCAGTTAACATTATCGTTATTTGGAAGATTTGAAGATATTACTTGCTTCGAGCTGAAATATCTTCCTTGAGCTTCCATGTAGCTTCTTCTAGATATGTACTTTTTCCATTTCTTGCGGTGTTGAGTGTTGACACCTTGTGAATATTTGCTTTATGGTTATCTTGATTTGGCCTAAAAAATACCTTATAGTTGTCTGGTGCATCATGCAAAGCTTGACTTTTTTATTTTCTCATCCCCTTCATTTTGTGTTTGTCATGACTATACTTGAAGGGAAATTACGATGATTGAGCCTTATTCATGTTCTTATGGCATATGGGAATAGACCTGGATGGACAGAGGTTGGGTGGGAGTGAGAGAGCAGGGAAGCGGGGAGGATGGCATTGCGAGGTAGGGAGGAGAAAACTAGCAACTAGGTGTCCAAGTTATCGTCTGACAGCATGTGGTGAAAATATTTTGCTCTTCTGCCACTAAAAAGCCAAGTCTTCTCTGGGATCTTCTTTAGCTAAGAGTGTATTGACTCTCCTCTAGCTTACATAATGATGTCAAGAGAGTCACCTACCACCATTAGTCAGCCTGAAATCACTTGAGAGATCACTATGAGGCTATTGAGGAGAGTAACATCTTCAACCTTACTCAAGTTATAAACCCCTTTTTGTCATAAACAATGTGTTAAATAAGCCAATATTACCCTCAAGATGCCTTCCACGCTCTAAGGACCTGTATTCATTAGGGAATTACTATCAAGCTCCAATTCCCAGCCACTTTCTTAAGGATGACCAACAAGTCATGGGTCCAGCAGCTCTCTGGGAGTTGCTACGTCCTCTATCTCATGAAATTATTTAAATTGATCACTCTGAACTCCAGGAAGATCTAGAGCCTAAGAGTTCAATGTATCAAATGCTTAGTGAGCTGTTGACAGGGTGAAAATGATATTCGTTTCCAGTTCAAGGAGATTTGTGGACTATCGAGAAACTCTATTATTTGGCTCAATTGTCCATGTTTTATGTTCTTCTGGTGGTAGTGCAGTCAAATTGGGAACTATATTAATTGGTTGCTAAAAGAAGCTTTGGCACATATGTTGTTGTGAGCTATACATGGATATTTATCCTATTTCTTGCACCCATCCATGAAGAAGTATAGTGTTTCAGCTGAAAAAGGTTCGACAGTTTACTTCCCTCTTATGATCCGTCAACCGTGCTGGTCTAGGACTGCATAAGAACCAAAATTATCTCAGGAAACTTCAAAGAAAACAGGAAATTAACGACTGGATTTAAAATAATTTCTAGAGTAAATAAACTAGAGAATAAATAAAAGAAAATAAATGGCGTGCTTGAAAGCCGACCCACAAGCCCGGCACCTGGAGTTGGGGCCCGGATTAGACTTTTTAGCAATTGAGACTTCCTTCTTCTCAACCCTAGATCTATTTTTAACTAGAGAAGTTATCGTTGGACTTGAAAGGGGCCAAGGGAGCCCTAGGGTTATCTTGAACGTGAATTAGGGCTATGATTTTCTTGGTTTATGGAGCTTCAATGGCTGCTAGAAATTAGGGCTAATGACCTAGGGTTTCTAGGGTTTGAAGGCTTGAGGTTTAGGGTTTCAGAGAGGCTCAGGATTCTAGGGTTTCTAGGTTTCTTCTCTGCTCAAACAACAACACCGAAAGGGTCCATTTATAGGCTGTGAGTTTCCAGAAAAGAGTACCGCATTACGTAGGCTTCTGGAATGTCAGTGGATTCAACGATGTAGTTTGCGTTGCCGCCATCGATGCTGTTCCCATTGCTGAGCCTTCTGCTGCCCTGGATCGCGTGGGAGATCTCATGTTTTCCAATTCGGTTGAGATTCGGTCCAAATCTGATATGCAAACGTGTCCGATTCAGATTTTTTCTATTTCTTGAGCCTGGGACCTGTCCTTGTTTGGTGTTTATCCTGTAAAACTGGGTTTTATCTGGGTTTTCTAATATTTCAGGGATCACCTAAGGTCCGGACTATGGTTGAGGTGTGGTTGGGAATTCCCTTAGCCAAAATTCCCTCTTTTTGGGGTGGGGGGGAGGGGGTGTTTCTGTAAGTTTATCACTTTTTAATCTTGGCCTTGAGAAGTTAGGCTTAGTGCTAATTTGTTTGTGCCACAAGGAGGAGTAATGGTCTTTTTTTAGGGAGAGGGAGTCTGTTCATCTTGAGGAGTTGGGTATGTCACATGAATTCCTTTTTCCAGATTTCCCGTTTTCTACAGGCTGTTTTTGTGCTTGGAATGTTTATCTGATAGTGGGAAGGTGTCCTCCATTCCTTTAGAGGATGTGAGGAGTGGTTTCCTTAGTCCCATAGAAATGCATGCATCTTCATCTTTTGCTTATAGAAATTCTCAGTCCAAAAGAAATCCATGTAAGGAATCAATGATTTGCTTGTTTGTTCTGGTGTTGGTATAATGAGCTGCAGCGAGTTAGATATATTCGAGTGATGTAGAAAAGGATGGATGGTGGACATTATTCATTTGCTGATGGTGGTCAAGGAGGAGCTGCAGTTGATTTTGAAGGAGATCTGGAGGAGGGTGATGGTTCTAGACTTGTGTGAAGTAGATGAGCTTGCGGGCGTTACCCACTCCTCCCCATGGTGATTTATGCTTTTGAGGCTAAAGCTTTTCTCACTGTTATTTCATTGTGTACATTTCCCTTTATATAGAGAGAACTTCTTGACTACAGGCACCTATTTAATTACCCCTTATTCTTGTAACTCAAGTGTGTCTAAGGGGGTACAATTTTAAGAATTATGTGACAGACTTATTGGAGCTATTTGAAAATTGCAGGTAATATCACATGGAATTTCTTTCCTACTTGTTCTCAAACTCATTTCACTTAGTTGCATCAGATAAGAAGTTGCAGTCGGTCTGATCACGCAATTGTCTGAATCACCCTCACATGCAAATCAGACTATTTGTCAGGTTGCCTTGAATTGTGTTATTTTGCAGGCCTTGGTTTGGCCTAAAATTTGATGGCCTTGCACAAAATTTCTGGATTGGGTTAGATAAGAAAGCTTCCATCATTTTTTCTTAGCTGTACTTAAGTTCCATTCTCATCATTGCATTAGTGGAAACAAGCTTGTCGGCATTATCATATGCTTTTCTGAGTCCACCATGCACTAGGGTTCCTCAGGGTTTGTTATCTTGTGTGGAACTAAAGTTCGTCATAGAATTGGATAGCTCAGTGTGAAATCCATTCTACTATTTTGAGTCTCTGTCACAAACTTTGCTATATTCTTGGAGAAACAGCCATTTGCTCTTAATCGTTCCTTTATTGATGTAAAAGCAGAATTGGTCTTCTGCTGTAGTTCTGCGTTAGGATTGAGAAGATGTCCATCAACTCCCCTATTTAAAACGTTGTTGTAGTCATACTACAATGATATGATGAAGCCATGTGGCTATACGATCTTTGTTTGGCAAGACTGAAATGTGAACTATACAGTTCTTCCTCGAAGTGCCTTTCTGAATATTGGAGAATTGGTGCTTTGTGCGATCATTGCCATTCATTAATGATCTTGATCTACCGTAAAATGAGACATTTTAGAAGGGGCCTCAATTGTTCAAATCACCTCCAACCACCCTCTAGTTTTAGACAGCTACTAGTGTCTGCGGTTAATTCACGTTCTTTAGATGGGGCCATCAATTGAAATAATATATTATCTTTTTTCTGCAGACCATTTTATTTAATGTTTTTCATCATATTTTCCTTGGTTGGCAATCAGATTTCATATAATCCTTTGAACTCTTTTGTTCTCTAGACAGTGGTTTCATCTGCCGCACTCCATAGCGTTTCCTCCCTATAGGAAAATGAAAATAGACGTTGTTACCGAGTAAAATCATAATGAACAGGTTCCATTGTGGTGTGATCCAATGCATGTCCACTGTTAACCTCGAAAATGAAAATAGACGTTATTACTGAGTAAAATCATAGTGGACAGGTTTCATTGTGGTGTGATCCGATGCATGTCCACCGTTAACCTAAGTGGGTTTCTTGCTTTTCTATAATAAATTGACGGTTCTTGTTAAGTATCATATCATGCTACTTCAATCTTTCATTATTCAAATGGATTTGGAGAATTTGGCAATTCATTGATGCTCACATGTTTCATATATTTGGTGTTACATGATAAATAGTTATTAACTTATTATTAAATTTTTGCAGATATCCATGGAAGCTATGATGGATGATGATTCTTTCATACAAGATGGCGTTGGCAGGTGGCCATTTGGTCATTTTGTTGAACAGCTTATTCATGATGTCTTTGATCCCAGTACGTGTCCTTTCTAAGAATTTTATCTTCGGATCATTCTCTTATAATTGTAATACGTCCTAAGTTTCATTAAGAAATTCATATTCCTTTGTGCAAGTTTCATTAAGAAATTCATATTCCTTTGTGCAAGTTTCATTAAGAAATTCATATTCCTTTGTGCTTGACTTACAGTATGGGACGTACGCCATGGAAGTATAATGGCTCTGAGAGAAATTTTAACACATCAAGCAGCATCTGCTGGTGTGTTCATGCCTGACTTGGCCTCAGAAGATTCTTGGTATTCTGATTTTGGAAGTAAAATAAATATGACGAGCACCATGAAGAGGGACAGAGAGATTGATCTGAACATCCAATGCTCAGTAGAAGACTCTGAGCCATGTTTGAAGAGACAGAAATCAGAAGACGAGTCAGGGCAACTATTAAATGGAGAACCCTCTTGTTGCAGGGAGCTGAATCCTGGTGTGGGTGTTAAATATGACATTAAATATGAAGATGCCTTGAGCCATCCAAGTCATGGAATAGAAAACAATGTACAAAACATGGTGACTGTTAAGGTAGAGGCTGAGTCAAGTGTGGACGGTTCTTATTTTCAGTGTCCCAAAGTAGAGGAAGATGGAGATGGATCACAGAATAAAGCTTTCTCTAAAGATACACGTTCCTCTACACAACTAGACATTGCAACAAAGCTACCTGAAAATGAAAAATTGTTGAAGTTGGTCAATCTAGCAAAAATTTCGTGGGCCAAAAATTGGGAGTTTCTCCAAGATTGCGCAATTCGATTTCTTTGCGTATTGTCATTAGATCGGTATGTGTTATGGGATACAATTTATGCTTCTATTTCAGTATGTGACCTAATGAGCAAATTGAGTTGTCAAAAAAAATAATTTATTTTCATGTGTACATATCTACTATTTTTTCATCATTCATTAATTTATTTCCTCTCCTTGTTTGGTTATGCAGTAATGCTTGTTCTCTTAGTATTTTCCTTGGCATGTTTGCTAAAAGTTTAAGTGGATATAGTTCTCCTTGTTTGGCTGAGTGATTCATCACTTATGGAGATTTCTATTGTCAAGTTCCTTGACTCTTTTCTGTTTCGTTGAGACAGTTTTGGAGATTATGTTTCTGATCAGGTTGTTGCTCCAGTCCGTGAAACCTGTGCTCAAGCTCTCGGTGCTGTTCTTAAATACATGCATCCTTCATTAGTTCATGGAACTTTGAATGTCTTATTACAGATGCAGGTAATATTATGGGAAGAATCCTGTTTGGGTGTTGAAATTTTTTTGAATAGAAACTTATTACCTGGTTTGATGGAGTTTATTGTTCTTACAAATAATCCTTATCATGCTCCAGTATCGCCAAGAATGGGAAATTCGTCATGGCAGTCTCTTGGGATTAAAGTATTTGGTTGCGGTCAGACAGGTAAAACCTTTTTGTTGGATCTGATAGCTAATTTTACTACATTGCCCTTGTTGCTTATAACTTTTAATGGTTGTCATTTTTATATTTTGTTTTGATAACTGAAGGGTCATAGAGCCATAGAAAATTTTGTGGAGCCAGAGAAAAATTCATTGTCATAACCGTCACTTGAACTCCCAAGATTTGTTTGGGAGTATGAAATACTGCCCTTTTCTTCTTTCTTATGATGAGAATGCATGTCTTGTTGTTATGATTATCATTTCTTTTCAGTTGTATTGGTATGACCATGTCCCTCATTCTTTTGTTCATGTACCATGCGAGTTTGTGTCTTCTTCAACTTGGGCAATTTTGAACTTCGAATTAGATGATATCATTCTCAACCTAGTTTGGTACATGTTATGTTGAATCCCTATCATAAATAATGGTGCTTGGATATGTTTTCTCTTAGTGATTAATTTCTTATTTTGTGCTGAAGGAATGCTTACAGAATTATGATTTTGTCTTAAAGCCACTTTGACATCAAAGTGTGGACTCCCTGAATCAGATTCTTAATGTTGGTTTATTTATTAGTTTTCTGTTTCTTTGGGATCCATCAGCAACAATCTGTATCTGTATTTTCATTAGGTTGTCTATAACACCATCTCAAAGGTTTACTTACACTTTCATGCATAATGTTGAGAACTTAAGATGAATAGATTGCTTTTGAGTCTCATACTTTTAGTGTTCTTAGGTTTTTCTGATAAAATAGCTTTTATTCTTGAACCTTGTATGGTACAATCGGATAAGCACATACAGTTGCTATAAAGAGAAAAAAGAGGATGGGGGGTTCCCAGATTTCCCTCCTGCCCTTAAGGCCCATGCATCTCCAGATAGCTGTAAATCTTAAGGATCACCTCTAACTTATTTGCTGAAATCTTGCCGACCCATGAGTGCTCGATTCATCCATATGACATTGAAATACTCTCTATTGTTAAGGGGCACGGAATTGAGGAAACAAGATCTTGTCTGCAATGAGGAGAGCCTTGTTGACAAGTTCCAAGGTTCGGCTACTCCAGTTGATCCTATACATGCCTTCGTCACATTATCCAATTGTTGGCTATGTTCTTGACTTTGTGTGACCTCAGATGTCAAAGGAAGTAATTAAATTAATCTTAAAAGCTTAACTTTGAGTGTATCCCAGATATTTGCCCTCCTGTGCAAAATTCTATTCCTTTGTTTGGTCAACCATTATTTCAGGTCCTCTACCTTCAGTCTCTTAAAGGTCTCTCTAATTGAAAGGCATAAGATTGTTGGCAACTTTATGTGCTGTGCTGCTACTGGTCCTTTCTGCTTTATGTTTTCTGGGTCAATGTGATCTTCTGGAGTCATTCATTGTGATGTTCCTCAATTGGTGCGCACCCACTCTCCTCCTGAGAGGCTGTACTCTCAGCAAGTTCAGTGCTGTGGTGTTCCTGGGGCATATGGGGGAAAACATAATGACAAAATATTTAAATGCAAGACACCATTTATGGAGCTTAGAGAATGAGGTCCTTTACATTATTGTATTGCTTGCTCTCAGCTTGATCAGGATAAAGAGGATAATTTCAAACCTCATGGCATCTTGCCCCAGCCTCACTGGCAGGTGTGGGCTTTTCAGGATGGCTTGGGCATGATACATCCTTCTTGTAAACACTATGCATGTCATTTCATTGAGGTGATGCTCGAGCCCTACTCATCGATATGCATATGTAGGATTGTGATATTCTGCTGCCCTTTGATTGTGCTGGGCTACTCTACCTGTATCATCAAGTGGCTCCCCACAATTCTTTTTCTCTAATGTGGCTTAGAAATATCTTTGAGGAACTATGCAAGCTGTGAACCCCTAAGCTTATGGCTTGCATGCGTTGGCCTCAGCTGTCAGTAATTTACTCCCATCTGGTCTTTTGGAGGTTTCATCCTCTACTTTTCCGGTGTGCCTGTTCCCTTCTGCTCCATTCTCCATTATCTTTCGAGTTGTACATTTATATAATGCAAATATTGAACATAAATGGAATGCCATTTGCTGTAGAAATTGATATTTCTTGAACGGTCTTTAAGAAATTTTTTTTGTTAGTGGTATTTTAATTGGTGTGAGGACATGCTATCAATTGAAGACTAAAGCCAATCAAACCTTAACCTGTTGAGTCTACCCTATTAGACAACATTCTTGCGGAAATCTTGTGACAATTCAATGAATTGGGACTTTTGCATCACAGTTTTTTAGTTGTATACTATTTAATTTTTTTGTTTAAATTGTTTGTATGCTTTAGCAAGCTCTACTCATCGATATGCATATCTAGGATTGTGATTTCTTGCTACCCTTCAATAGTTCTGGCCTACTTGCCAAGTTCAAATGGCTTCCCATGAAACACTTGATTCAATGTGGTTTATGAATGTCTATGGCAAACTTTGTGAGCTGTAAGCCCCTAAGCTTAGCAAAAATATAATACCGTTTACTGCAAAAAATGATTCTTTTGAAAGGTGTGTAAAAGATTATTAATTGTTGATTATATAATACGCTATTCTATACTGTTAAGTACCTTTGGTACAAAAAGTTGCACTCACTCCTGTCTGTCAAATATGAAATCGGGTGTCTGGGGGTGTGTCATTTCATCACACAAAGTTCAAGTGAAGTTTTCTCAGATTTCGAGTGCGGTCAATGGGACACCCCTGGCCACTCGCTTTCACATCTGACAGCTAGGGGTGATTGTTAACTTTCTATACCAAAAGTAAAGGGGCTGTGAGGCTATGCTATTTATTGATGCTGAAAACTAATGAAGTCTGATTCTGTTGGGTTGATTCTGTTGAGTCAACTGTGTTAAAACAACACACTTGTGAAATGTTGCCACGATTTGATAAACTGGGACTTTTGCTTCACGGTTTTGTCAGTTATATAGTATAAGTGATCTTTCGCTGGAATTCAGTAAGCGACAACGATCCTGTAATTTTGTTAATAAATTTTCTGGTCATTACTTGGTATCTAATTATAGTAGCAACTTTCAAGGCTGCTCCAGCCGCATCTTTCTTGCTTCAACTAAGATATTTATAATGAGTAACTTGGGTTCTGTACTTTCCTTTAGTGAATATTTTGCATAGTAGGGTATATATTTTTTTCTGCATACCTCGGTTAATAGTATATTGTGCCACTGTGATTGTATTCAATGTTGAGGAAGCATTTGTGGTTTCTGTACAGAGTTTAGTTGCATATTTTATTTTGTGTGTCATGAGTCATGATAATTTGACTAGAACGTGAGTCATGATAATTTTTTTAGAACCTTCTGAGGTTTTCTCATTATTGGACAGGAAATGCTTCAAGACTTGCTTGTCTATGTTCTTCCTGCATGTAAAGCTGGACTAGGAGATCCAGATGATGATGTGAGAGCAGTTGCAGCTGAGGCCTTGATACCTACGGCTCGTGCTATAGTTTCACTTAAAGGACAAACATTACACTCTATTGTGATGCTACTGTGGGATATATTGCTTGACCTAGATGACCTGAGTCCATCCACTAGCAGGTGCATCTGATATCTTGCATTTCCTGTTTTTTGATTGACTATTTGATATTGACCATTCAAGTGAGAGACTCTATTTAAATATTGTCAGTTTCTTAACCACGAGATAGTCCTTGATAAATATGAATTGCTATTTTAAGAATCTCACCTTCTCCACCTACTTTTTGTGAGTTCATATATGGTTCATACTATTCATTGTTAGCTTTGTAAAAGTTTTAGATTTGGAAAATATTCATATAAGGGCAAGGCCCTAAACAATCAAATTGAGGCGCACCCCAAAAATTTCACTAGAAGAGGTTGTTTCGATGGCAAAAAATCCTTAAATTGATCATCTTGACCTCAAGATGCATGGACATGAGAAAAAATGGATTTCAAGTCTTGGAAATAGTGCATCTTGTAATGCATTTTCAGACTGTCAATTTTCAAGATTTTCAAGTGTTCATAGATCTGCTCGATCTACACTATGTTTGAAGTTTTAAATTTTATTAACAGAGATGAAAATAATTTTTCAGGCCATCACAAAGTTTTTCAGTATTAAAATAATATCTTTCAACACTATTTGAAGTTGCGCCTTACTTTGAGTGTTGAGGTCCTTGGCTGTCTTTCAGCACTATTTGAAGGTGCGCCTTACTTTGAGTGTTTAGGGCTTCGGCCTTATACAAACCATACCCTTTAGATTTTCATTCAAAATTTGTATATGTTGCTTCCTTTTGTGACTTTTTCAAGTTTTACTTGAGTCTTGAGTATACTGCTTGTGAGAACTCTTCAGTTCCGTCTTGTAAATTAGAGCAACGCTTATTGTTTACTTTTTGCTTGTGAATGAACCTTTGTCATGAATATTGATGCCTAATCACTTGTTTCTCTCTTTGCAGTGTGATGCACTTGCTGGCAGAGATTTATTCACAACCTGAGGTGGTTCCAGAAACTTTGGGTGTCGTAGAACATCAAGGATTCGATCTGAATGAAGTAGTCCCTACTGATGAAAATGGAGACAGTATGAAACTTGAAGAGAATACTCATATTTTATCAACTCTAGCTCCACGCTTGTGGCCATTCATGAGACACAGTATTACGTCAGTTCGGCATGCTGCTATCCGTACCCTGGTAAGCTCTTGTGGTATCTCTATTTAATTTTAATTTTTAGAAATTGCTGTTGCATTCATTGTCCTGCTTCTTTATATGCTATATTATTTTATTTTCATTTTTTATGTTTTTAATCATTTGTGCCCTATTCTCTTTTAATATATTATTTTAGTGGATGTAAAAGTTTTTATCCTGGATGCTAACCAAGTCACATCCTTACAGGAGCGGCTGCTTGAAGCAGGCTCTAGGAGGCAATCTTCTGACGAAACAAGCACTAGTTCCTGGCCTGCCTCTATATTGGGTGATACCCTTCGTATTGTCTTTCAGAATTTACTTCTGGAATCCAATGAGGAAATTTTGCAGTGTTCAGTGACAGTTTGGAGGCTTCTGCTTCAGGTGGGGACTCTTATCAATGCGACCTTCTCTTATGGTATTCTAGTGTTATCTTTTAATGCTTTCTTCGTTACTGATATCATGGGTTTCTTGTCAGTGTCCAGTGGAGGAATTGGGAGCTGCTGCAAATTCATATTTTTCTTCATGGCTACAACTTGCAACTACTCCCTTTGGTTCTGTCTTAGATTCTACAAAGATGTTCTGCCCAGCATTTTTACCAAGAAAAAGCCATTTCAGAGCAGCGGCAAAGATGAGAGCAGTCAAAGGAGAGACTGGGTATCATGGAAATTTTGGTTTGGATCCTGCAAAGGAGATCCACTCACAAGAACAGTTTTTAGATGCGTCTACCAATTCTACAAAGATCGTTGTTGGAGCTGATAGTGAGAAGTCAGTTACTCGTACACGAGTAGTTGCATCCACAGCATTGGGAGTGCTTGTATCACATTTATCTGAAGCATCACTGCCATTTGTTGTTAATTCATTGTGGGAAAATCTCTCTTCATCATCGGGAGTCCAGCGACAGGTTATTTTCCCATCCCAATCTGTTTCTTTTGAAGTTTTTCCTTGATGGTTCATCTGTTTCTTTTGAATTGCTGACTCTTTCCAGTTCATGGTTAGTTCAAGCTTCACTTTGTTAATTTATCTTTCCTGTAGGTGGCCTCTATGGTTCTTGTTGCGTGGTTTAAGGAGCTCAAATACCAGGACACCCCGAGCATGCATGCTAGTGTTATTAGAAGTGTCACTCCACTTAGACAGCTGTTAATAGAACTGTTGGCATGCACAGATCCTGCAATGCCTACGAAAGATTCGTTTCTTCCTTATTCCGAACTCTCAAGGACATACATGAAGATGCGCAATGAAGCCAATCTGTTATTCCGTGCAGCTGATTCATCTGGTTTGTTTGAGAATGTATTGACATCACTAAACTTTTCTGCTGATACAGTAGGTGTTGAAGATGCTATCAGTTTCGGATCAAAACTATCACCCCGCAGCAACCACACAATTGGAGATGGAACTGTGGATAAGCAGGTTCTTGATGACATAGAATCATGCAGACAACGACTTTTGTCAACCTCTGGCTATTTAAAATGTGTTCAGGTATGTTATAATTCTATAACTTTGTTATATGATGATAAGCTATGATAACAAAAAAAGAAGAAGGAATCATGCTTGGGTCAAGACGGTAGCAGCTGGGTTTCATAGCACTATGTCTCAAGTTCCATTCCTGTGTTACCTTGTCAAAAAAAAAAAGGAAATGTATATTATGATACACTAATTTCTTTTAGTTTTTTTTCACATTGTAGTTGTATGTTTTATTGTATATGTGTTCTCGACAAATTATACCTGAAGCAAACATGAAATCTAAAACCCTATGAAATTCCGCATTAAAATCTAAGCTAGCTAAGATATTAGTGCTCCATTAGCTTCTCCGGAAATGTGCACAATAACTACCACATAGAGTGATTATACAAACAGTGTGAATTTCCATTTCATTTTTTCATGTATTTGGACTGCTAGTATATTTCTAAATCTCATTATCTGTTTACGTTATAGGAGTATTTTGTTGGACATTGCGCCGCCAATATTGTGAATCCTTGGTGTTGAGAACTTTTCATTAGCTCCACTCTCTTTATAATCATTTAGAAAATGTTTTTGTTGAGTTCTCTTTGGTGCCTTGATACGATGGCCGCAACTCAAGTTTTTATTGAATGCGTCATTAGAGTTAACATATTTATACTGTTCATGTTAAAACATATATCCCATGATATGACAAAGGAGTTTCCCAGTGAAATTCCTTTGTGAAGAAAGAAAAGAACTTTCCAATGATAAAGTGCTTATCCCATGATATCATGACCTTCGGATAATTGTAGTTCAGCAGCATGCCCTTTGCCTACAATTCATTCCTGTTATTTTTTATTTATGCCCCATCTGTTGGAACTCTATGCAGAGCAATTTGCATATTACGGTCTCATCTTTATTAGCTTCTGCGGTGACCTGGATGTCAGAGCTTCCTGCACGACTTAATCCAATCATTCTGCCCTTAATGGCTGCCGTCAAACGAGAACAGGTTAATTTTTTTTTGTTATTCTTAATATGGACTCTGTAGTGCAAAGCTTTCCTCCTAACTAAATATAACACTCCATTTTACTTTGACTTCAGGAGGAAGTGTTGCAACAGAAGGCAGCAGAAGCACTTGCAGAGCTTATTTCATTTTGCATAGTACGCAAACCAGGCCCAAATGACAAGTTAATTAAGAACCTCTGCACCTTAACATGCTTAGATCCTTGTGAGACGCCACAAGCTGCGCTGTTAAATTCTATGGAGACCATTGATGATCAAGATTTGTTGTCTTTTGGGAAAGGCACAAGTACTCAAAAGTCCAAGGTCCAGATGCTATCTTCTGGTGAAGAAAGGTCAAGGGCTGAGGGTTTTATCAGCAGGCGTGGAGCAGAAATTGCACTGAAGTGTCTATGTGAGAGATTTGGAGCTTCATTATTTGATCAACTTCCTAAATTGTGGGAGTGCCTCACTGAGGTGCTCAAGCCCAGCATTCCTGATGGTTCACAGTCTTCAGCAAATTTACAGAATGCGCAACATGGGGATCTTGTTGATGACCCACAGGCTTTGATAAACAATCTTCAGGTGGTTTTCCTTATTATATTTTCACATTCTTTTGTTTTTGGTTTCTTTGCTTTTGGGTCTTTTGGTTTTCTCTACAAATGATATTGCTATTTGGCCTTTGTATAGATTTTGGTTTTTTGATGATATACAAGTGTTCAGTCATTAATATGAGAACTTGAGAGGCATAGATATCAGTCATTATCAAAAGGGACTCTCAAAACAATAAGAATGGCCTTGGAAGGGGCTCCCTCTACAATGGATAGATTTCTTGTTGTTGGGACTTTTGCTGTTAGACCTTTTCTTCTCTATGGGTGCTGGATGATGATGGATGTGACTCATGGTTGATTGTCTGGGAACTCTATGAGTTTCTTGGGAGGGATGGTCTATGGGTATTTTACTGTGATAGGAGGAGTTCTGCAACTCATATACTTCCTCTTTTTTGTTTCCTCTCCTTTTTTATTTGGTTGGTGGGGGTGGGGGGCGGGGGGTTTGGGTGGGTGGAGAGGGAGGGAGTTTGGGAATGCTCATATACTTCCCTGTTCTTGTTTATGATGTTTTAACTTCTGGTTTGAATCACCCTTTCAAGGGTTACATTTATCTCTCTCGTGCTAGCTACTATTTGCATACCGTGCTTACAAGAATGCGTACATATGTGCATGTGCTTTATCTGTTTATATGATATTTTTTCATTTCTGTGATTTATTTTTAGTGTTTCACTATAAGAAATTTGTAATCATGTGCATATACAACTATAGACTTGATGAGAACATATGATTAGAAATTATTTTTATTTTTAATATAAATCATTTGAGCTATAGTCAGGTGGCCATCATTGTCCGGCCTCTGGCATATGCATTGGTATTGGGGGTTGGGGCAACTGACCTGGGGTGCATGCATATGTGTCTGTAGTTGTGGGCAGACTACTTTCTGGATGTGGGAACGATTGGTACTTTTTAAGCCAAAACACTTACCGATTAATAGTCATGGTAGTGCTTGAACATAAAAATATGAAGTCGTAGTCTTTTTTTAAGGTTGTGGATTTGACATCTCAGATGTGGAATTTTGGTTTTTGTTTTAGGTTGTGTGCTCTATTGCACCTTTATTGGATGAGACATTGAAAACCAAGTTGGTCACGCTTTTTCCATGCATCTTTGACTGCATACGCCATAAACACATTGCAGTCAGATTAGCTGCATCAAGGTGTATAACCGCTATGGCAAAGACAATGACTACTAGTGTAATGGGAGCTGTTATGGAGAGTGCTCTTCCACTGTTGAGGGATTCAGTATCTGTTCATGCTAGACAAGGTGCTGGCATGCTTGTGAGTCTACTCGTACAGGGATTAGGTGCGGAACTTGTGCCCTATGCACCTTTGCTTGTCGTGAATCTTCTAGGATGTATGAGCGATAGTGATCGTGCAGTCAGACAAAGTGTTACACACAGTTTCGCTGCACTTGTACCTCTTCTGCCGTTGGCCAGAGGCCTTCGTCCACCTGTGGGAGTCAGTGAAAGCTTATCAAGAACTACAGAAGATGCACATTTTCTGGAGCAGCTCCTAGATAACTCTCATGTCGATGATTACAAACTTTCATTCGAATTGAAAGTGACATTAAGGAGGTACAATTGCAGTTTTCTTGGTATCATATAATGCTACGTTGAATTATTCATCCACACATATTTCCTTCAGTGCCATATGCTTAATATTCTATTCAGCTGTGTTTAAATAGTAATGTTGGGATTTGTGATTGCATGTATGGTTGTTGGATTATGTATCTATTTGTTGATATGATGTCTGCAGGTATCAACAGGAAGGCATAAACTGGCTCTCCTTCCTGAGACGATTCAAACTTCATGGAATTTTGTGTGATGACATGGGTCTTGGAAAAACACTTCAGGCTTCTGCAATTGTGGCATCTGATACTGTAGAACAGCTTGCTTCGAATAATGACAAGGATAATTTACTATCACTAATTATTTGCCCATCTACCTTAGTGGGGCACTGGGCATTTGAAATAGAAAAATTTATTGACTCTTCCATAATAAATCCTCTCCAGTATGTTGGTTCTGCTCAAGACCGTGTTGCACTTCGTAGTCAATTTGGAAAGTATAATGTTATTATTACATCATATGATGTCATTCGTAAAGATATTGATCATCTGGGACAGCTTGTATGGAACTATTGCATTTTAGATGAGGGACATGTCATCAAGAATTCAAAATCGAAAATCACATGTGCGGTGAAGCAGTTGAAAGCTGAACATCGCCTCATACTTAGTGGAACACCGATTCAGGTCGCTCATCTACTTGAACACTTAGTTGTTTATGTTTGTTTGCAAAGTAATATGAACATGATGTGTATCCTGATCTAGCCAATGTTGGTTACTTGATACTGTCGCTGAAATCCTTTTCCTGCTTAGCCGTCTTCTCCAAACCTCCATTTTGTTGGAAGCTGCTTGCTGATTCTGTTTTTGTACTGTGGGGGTTCTTATTTTTTTTCAGAACAATGTCTTGGAGCTGTGGTCCCTTTTCGACTTCTTGATGCCAGGATTTCTTGGGACGGAGAGACAGGTGAATACAATATTTTATCAGCTCAGCACTTGGATGTATAGAGATAGGATTTCTTCTCTTCATATTGTCAATTGTCTAATTTGGACAACCTCGTGGTTTTTGCTTTTCATAACTGCTCTCCAGTTGGGAAAGGGGTTAGGATCGTGGTGGTAGCACCCCACATCCTGGTCAGCATGTTGTGGTTTCCATTCCCGCCACTAACACCACCCAACTAATACCTTCAAAAAGCTAATTTCTAATCTACTTGAAAAAATGGGTAGGGGCCTGTCTTCCCCACTGAATTACCCAAAATAAATAAATAAATAACTGCTCTCCAGTTGGTTGTTACTCGATATTTACAATTCTGAAGCTTGCCTAATTTGTGATTGGTTAAAACATTTATTTGATGCAAGTTTTCAATTTCTGGGTAATGGCACGATTGGTTGATGTCTACAAACCTCCCTAAACCCTTAATTTGCAAATATCTTCCCATCTCTTCATATTAATTCACCATGACAAGGTTCAGGTCTGATCTGAACTGGCCTGACTGCTTGGGCCGGCGTAAAAGTACAACTTTCGAGTAATAGTAATTTTAGCTTTTGTTTGTTCTTCTAGAGGGCTTTATGAAATCTAATGTGACACCTAATGTGACATTTTCCCGAAGGCAATGTGCCATAGCTAGCATTCTCCTAATCTACAATGTCAGGTCTCCTTATTCTTTGTGTTGGACTACAGTTTCAAGCCACTTACGGAAAGCCGTTGCTCGCAGCAAAAGATTCGAAATGTTCTGCCAAGGATGCTGAAGCAGGTGCTCTTGCTATGGAAGCATTGCACAAACAGGTTTGAATTTCTTAATGATCGTTGTGTTGTGTTTATTTCTATTCTATTTGTTGCTGTCCTTAGATTAACCAGTCACATAATCAATGCAACAGGTTATGCCATTCCTTCTTCGTCGAACGAAAGATGAAGTTTTGTCCGATTTACCTGAGAAAATAATTCAGGACCGATATTGTGACCTGAGCCCCATTCAACTGAGACTATATGAACAGTTCTCTACTTCGAATGCAAGAAAGGAAATCTCGTCATTGATGGAAGCGAATGAGCAACCAAGTGCTCCTGTATCTGCCAACCCTTCTTCCAAAGCATCATCTCATGTTTTTCAGGTATGTGAGCTTGATTGTGGAAGTTTCAGTGGCAAAAGATTGTCAATCGTCTATGCCATACATGTATGGACTAACAAAAAATTGTTGCAGGCACTTCAGTACTTGTTGAAGCTTTGTAGCCATCCGTTGCTTGTTCTAGGGGAAAAGCCTTCAGATTCCCTTCTTCACATGGTATCAGAAGTCATCTCTGGTGGTGGTGACATTACATCAAATCTACATGATCTCCAACATTCTCCAAAATTGGTTGCTCTAAAAGAAATACTTGAAGAATGTGGAATTGGGATGGAAACATCAGGTTCAGAGGGGGCTGTGATTGGTGGTGGTCAGCACCGAGTTTTGATATTTGCTCAGCATAAGGTTTGATAAGTTACTTCTTAGTTTGTTGGATATTATTTGAGATTGTCTACAAATCCCAAATCCTCTATATCATTGACCTACTGTTCTTTGTATTTGCAGTCATTATTGGACATTATTGAAAGAGATTTGTTCCATACCCATATGAAGAGGTATGTCTTCAAGATTAGTGTTCATTGCATGTAGTACTTACAGATTTGCTCTTAAACTCGTTTCTGTAATTGATCATTGAAACATGGGTAAGCATATGGAGTCTGTTAAACTGATGCCATACTTACGTGGCATAGATGGTTTTGAACATTTCTGAAGTATGGATTCATGGGAAATTTAGCGGAACTCTTTTATGTTTGAATACTTAAACAAAAAAAATAAAAAATTGTTACCCTTTTCAGGAATGGAAGAAACCTGAATGTTTTAGATTTTGATTGTTCTCTCTATTTTCTTCCTTGATTGTTTATCTGTTGTTTAAATTATTTCTCATGGCAGTGTCACATATTTGAGATTGGATGGCTCTGTTGAGCCAGAAAGACGTTTTGAAATCGTGAAAGCCTTCAATTCGGACCCTACAATTGATGTCCTCTTGCTCACAACACATGGTATGTGCATCTTTTATGACTCGAGTTTCTCAGTTCATTAAATGTTCATGTTTTTACCTTCAGGGGAAAACAGTGTGTTTAGGCTTGTAATTTTAAACTGCAGTTGGTGGGCTTGGTTTGAATCTCACATCAGCTGACACTCTGGTTTTTATGGAGCATGATTGGAATCCTATGAGGGATCACCAGGTATATATGCTTACTCATTTTCAGGCACAATATGTCATGCGTATCCTTCAAAATTTCTTCCTTCTGTGATGGAACGTTCACGAAACATTTAGCTATTTTATATTTTTATGTTTCATTGTTAATGGCCACACAGCATTTATTTTAAGCAGCTCTCCTATTCATGGCTAATTTTTAAGCAGCTCTCCTATTCATGGCTATTTTAAGCAGCTCTCCTATTCATGGCTAATTTAAGGGACTCCTGGCATACTCAGTCTTAACCTAGTGAGAACATTAAGCTAGAAAACACTGAAAGAAACTTGATACTTATGAGCAATAATTCCCTTGGTGTCGGGGGCAAAGTGCTTATAATAGTTATATATGGCTTATGTAGGGTACAAATGAATAAAGCCTGTCACTGTTTTAGTCTTGTATTATCTCTATCAAATTTCTGCATAAAATCTGTCTTTGATATATGCAAACATCAACATTCTGCATTTGACATGGTTCTGTCTCAGAAGTGTTCATCGTATCCCTTAGCTAGCATAATCGATAGTGCCAGCAGGTAAACATAATAATATGTGGCTTTCCCTATGGGGAATTTTGAGCAGGCTATGGATAGAGCTCATAGGCTGGGCCAACGCAAAGTTGTAAATGTCCATCGCCTTATCATGCGCGGTACCCTTGAAGAGAAAGTCATGAGTCTTCAGAAGTTCAAAGTCTCGGTTGCAAATGCTGTTATCAATGCAGAGAATGCCAGTTTGAAGACAATGGATACTTCCCAGTTGCTTGATCTGTTTACAACCTCACAGCCTAGTCGCCAGGTAAATTCTTATCTGGCATCTGTTGTAGTAACAGTCAGTCGATAGTATCATTATTTCTTTGTAAATTTTAGAAAAATATTGAGAACTTCTTCGAAGAAGTTATTTTCCCAACACCATAAATGCTTCTGTTCTTTTTTTTCTCCAACATTTTCTTTTGGGTTTGTATGCGATGAGACCATTTACCTTTTGTAAAGTTCACTGTCACCCTAGCCATCGGATGTGAAATCTGATAACTTGGAATGTGTTATAAAGTTATAAACGAAAAATCATTTGGACTTTGAGTTCGTTGGTGGCGCACTCCCAACCGATGGATTCACATCCAATGACCAAGGGTGATTGTGTCTTTATACCAAAGGCAAATGACCTTATTGTATAGTTTTCCTTTTATCTTGATTTCTGTAAATTTTTTTTTTTTTTTTGGAGGAAGTTGGTAAAAACTACAGAGAGAGAGAGAGAGAGAGAGAGAGAGAGAGAGAGAGAGAGAGAGAGAGAGAGAGAGTAGTAGTAGTACGTTAGTTAGTTAGTTAGTTAGTTAGTTAGTTAGTTAAGTTAAGTTAAGTAAGTAAGTAGTACGTAGTAGTACGTACGTACGTACGTACGT